ATGCCGTCAGAATTTGGCTGTTCTCTTAAAGACATCTATGGAGATTCTCAGTCATTCAGGTCATAGTTATCCCAAAGGTGCTTTTTCACAAGGCAACTGGACTTTCTTGTTTCTTTTTTGAAGGCATTTCACTTCTCATCCAAGAAGCTTCTTCAGAGGCATTTTTAGTGCTGTTGAAACTTTGAACAGTCACTAAATGGACTGTTGTGAGTTGAGGATTACCTGTATGGAGATACTTTGATATATTTTGATGACCTATAAAAACATGTCTGAGATGCCACTGTGCAATCTCATAAGAATGAATATTTTCCAACCCTCAATATTTTAGAACAAGACGCTATCTTGAAAAATTGCTAAATTTCATGAGGCTGCCCTGATCTCAGCCTGAATTCTTCTGCTATCTCAGTTTGGTCAGCCCCGTTGAAACCTGAGGGTTTCAATGCAAGGACATTCTTTCATGCAACGTTCTTTCTTTTAAAAAGGGTTTTCTGGCATTATTTTCAATAATGTGCTGTGTTGCCAGCCTCTAACTATAGAAAACATTTCCACATTAAAAAAAAAAAAAAACATACAGTCCATGAAGTGTGAAACTAGTATGAAGTGGGGAAAAAAACCTATAAAGGAGATCAAATTACCATTCAAAGTTTACTTGAAATACAACAAAGTAATTCTCGGATAAAATTCCAAAGTAGCAGAAGAAAGACAAGTAAACAAGCAATTCAAGGGCATCACATAACTTTGGTTTTTTCCCCCTAAATAGCAAGTTGCAAAGGCAGAAAACGTTTTCATGTTAAACTATAGCAGCAACAAAGGAGAAAGGAACTGAAAAGGTCTGAACCTGTAAGATCCACCCAGCTATCTTTATACTTTCCTTTCTTCTTGATGTTTACTAATGGCCTGAAAATAACTTACTGAAAGAAAACGTGTCTTTGGAAGTTCACGTATGAAAGGAAATGGAAGACCTAAATGGATATGCAGCATACGTACTCTTCATGCTGTCCTCGGAAGAACAGTGGTTAACCTTCTTCTAATTTTGGGGGAAAAAAAACCTTTAGAGTTTTCTATGCTTTTGCTAATGCCCAAAGTGCCACTGGTGACAAGACCTTCAATCAATCTGGAATGTTGCGGCATCTCTAAAATCCTTTATTATACCTAATTAGACAACTTTTAATTCTTCTCCAGAGTCTGCATTAAAGCTAATATATAAAACAGTATATTTAAATTCACTGTTACCTGACATTTTATCACTCTCTGGTACTGATCTTATTCATTCATTCATTCATTCTTCACTTATTCATACATAAATACATACTTTGGGAATAGCAATCAGAGAAATAGATTATGCGCAAGTTTCACCTCTTGAACTAATCATGCTGAAAGTTGAGTAGCTATTGTCCTATGTAAAATCTAACCTCACGTAAAATGGTTTTAGTGCAAACACAGGTGTCCTTCATCCATAAATATAACTATCTTTCTTTGTACAAAATAGGTACGTGCACAAGGTAGAGAAACAAGACACCAGGCTAACATATTAGTAAACTGAGTTGAAATTTACAAGTGGGTAATAACAGACAGATAAACAAGATTATTATAATCATCCAGGTCATCCTTAGGCTTTAAATACACTAACAGAATGGTAACAAGCTTCTAAAGAGAATTAATCTGGTTTGTAGACATATACCATCTATTTGTATCATTAGCTTACGGAAATCTTTATCGTCACTACTTTGATGCCAGTTCAGTTCTGTAGCTGTTCATAAGCAGGCATACAAATACATACTGTACTGTAAGCCTTAACCTTGTTAACCGTAACCTTAACCAAGTATTAACCTTGTGAACTCTAAAGCTTCCTCCTTCCGTTATGTAATCAAGATGGACAGTGATTAATATTTATATGCTACTTATATGTAAGGGTGTAGGTCTATACATATGTTGTATATAGCATGTTTTAAGTGTGTGTTATGTATCTGTACACTTTGAGAGCAAGCAACTAAATTTCATTTTTAATGTGTGCCGTTGTGCCCACAGGAAAAAATAAAGGTTATCTAATCTAATCTAATCTGAACTAATCTTATTCATCAACAATACATTCTTATTATTATTACAGACCTGTAAAAATACAAATACAAAGAAGGCTGGCTTTCTTCCTTGTTTTCTCTCCCTCTCAAAAATACTGCTGGTATTTAGGAGTCAACAATAACATTATAAAATCAATGTAGTAAAGTTGAGAATTGTTTTGCGGCGCATACCAACTGTTGATAGTTACTCAACAGATTAAAGCTTGCTGCTGGCAGTAGGCTTCTGTGTGCTAAAAGCAATGGCAAATAGCTGGGCAGCCTTGATAATTCTAGGCAGTTTGAATAGTCCCTGAAGGTAAGTTTTGTATTCTGGAGCATATGTCTATTTCCATCCCTTCCTTATGATGCAGTTAATTACAACAACCCAGAGGCAGCCAGTGGGAACAACATCTGCAAGAACCCAATTTAAAGAGGAAGGAAGCAAAACTGTGAGATGGGGTAGGGGCCTATCTAATAGGTACAGATTTGGATCTTAAAATTGTAGAATTCTGAAGAAAAGGAAGAACGTAGAATCTGCAGGATGAGTTCTTCTGCTTCGTTGTGTCATAGACTTCTAATAATGGATTAATTTCACCTACAAGGGGACTATTATGTTAGTTCAGGGGTCCCTTCCAACTTTATTATTATTATGGATCATCGCACAGTCAGCCAGATGTTCAGTCTGGATTTGGCATTTTGTCTACCTATCGAGTCCTTACCCAGGACCTGGGATAGGCAGATGTGGATGTTTGGTGGTATTACAGGTATTGTCACAGGATGGAAGCAGTTCCTAGTAAGGCCACCTTTTGCAATTGACTAATAGCGAATTTGCCAATGCCAATGGTGTTCAAGTGGTGCTCCAGTTGTTTTGGGATTGCACCCAAGGAGCCTATCACTATTGGTACTACCCTTGCTTGCTTTCGCCACAGTCTTTCTATTTCTATTGTATTTTGTTATCTTCTCCAGTTCTTTCTCGTCTATTCTGCTGTCTCCAGGCACTGCCATGTCCACTATCCAGACTTTTTTGTCTTTCTTATCGACAATTGTTAAGTCTGGGGTGTTATGTTGCAGGTGCTTGTCTGTTTGAATTCTGAAGTCCCAGAGCAGTTTAATTTTATCATTTTCTATGACTTTCTCTATTTTATGATCCCACCAGTTTTTGCTTACAGGCAAATGATAAATGATATTTTTGCTTTATTATTTATTATAACATTATTATTATTATTATTATTATTATTATTATTATTGTTGTTGTTGTTGTTGTTGTTGTTATTGTTATTATTAATCTAACTATAGTTTCAAGAAAGACTACATTATTCCAGCCTTTTATAAATCACTCAAAATTCTAGTTCTATCTGCCAATACTCTAGGATTTTAGCATAGTTCTTCTTTTCCTCTTTGAAAAACAGGAAATACTTGACTACACTGGGCAAAGAGAGACAATGGTCCCTATTTCAGTATCTCCTAGAAACTATCATTTCAGTCAATAAATAGCCTGGAAAGATGCCTCAACTATTCTCTCTTGCATTCTGTTAGAATAGAAAACAGGGTCAAAAGTTAGTAAATAAAGCTATTATGTGATCCTTGAGTTTCTCTGATAGTTGTTGTTGTTAATTGCGAAGTCGTGTCCAACCCATCACGACCCCATGGACAACGTTCCTCCAGGTCTTCCTGTCCTCTACCATCTTCTGGAGTCCATTTAAGTTCACACCTACTGCTTCAGTGACTCCATCCAGCCCTCTCATTCTCTGTCGTCCCCTTCTTCTATTGCCCTCAATCTTTCCCAGCATTAGGCCCTTCTCCAGTGAGTCCTTCCTGCTCATTAGGTGGCCAAAGTATTTTGAGTTTCAACTTCAGGATCTGGCCTTCTAAAGAGCAGTCGGGGTTGATCTCTTCTAGGACTGACCGGTTCGAACGCCTTGCAGTCCAAGGGACTCGCAGGAGTCTTCTCCAGCACCATAGTTCAAAGGCCTCAATTCTTTGGCGCTCAGCCTTTCTTATGATCCAACTTTCACAGCCATATATTGCAACTGGGAAAACCATGGCCTGGACTATACGCACTTTTGTTGGCAGGGTGATGTTACAAAAGTTACAAAAGTCAATTTATTGTTGGATATTTGATGAACCATATTAAGTGAGAAAAATAATAAGATTCCTGACACTACATAGCTTAGAAGTATCTTTTCTATGAAAAGCTATTTCTAAGAGTAAGAACAGTTATGAATAGCCTTGGATATGTCATGATTAGCAAGAGCTGGAGGGGATAATAATTAATGGAAATTGTTAACTGGAGTAATCCCTCTTTAAAAAAAAGAAACATGATTTAAATTCTTCAAGTAGTTATTTGCTCCAGCTTAACTGTTCCTGCAAAAATCACTCTTGAAAATTAAATATCTCTTAACAGAACAGTATATGCTGGGGTTACAAATAATTCTTTTTGTGACTGTGGCTGCTTTTGCCATTCAGATCAGGGATTTGCACATTTCATTTGTGAACGAGAAAAATGTAGAGAAGCAATCAATACCCAAATCCTACTGAAATCAATTAAGTCCCAATTAAACGTGCTCATACTTTAAATAGGTCTGAGAAGATGTAACTGATTAATCCACCACCGCTTACCTATCACAGGATTTTTGTGTAGATTTTACACAATTAAAAATTATTTTCCACATAAAGAGTTCACATCCCCTTTTAACTAAGGAATACACTGAAATATAACAAATCATTACATATAAATTCCAGATCTAACGGCAGAAGAAGATGGAATAAAGTAGAACACTGAATGGTAAGCTGAATATGCAGCTTGTATATTAGTGATCCATCTCCTGCAAGGATTTGAAAGAGATGCTAATCAACAGAATTTGTTAAGACACTGGACAATATTCTAGAAAGAAGCATGTGCAAATATATTTGTAGCCATAGGTTGGATGAATCTCTACTTACCAAAAACAATGTCCGGAATGTACTAAGGTCTCCAAAGAATTCCTCAACGGTGACAGATTTGGAATCAAAAGTATAATAGTCTCCCAAATTATCATACAGCTTTATCATGTTGTTATGCATGTTTGATAACTTTTCGTATTGTTCTTTGGCACTCTTGGCAAAACTGTGTTTTTGCGGTTAAGGAAGCTTGAGTGAGTAATACAACCGACCTGTTTTTCTAATTTCTACCAATATTTGATAGAAAAAAAATTCCGTATTTTAGCAAGCTTAAGATGGCTTGATTCGTGTTCGCTCATGTACAACTGCTGGCTTGATGAAAGGAAATCACTGTTTGCTCAAGTTCTTAATCTTGAGCAATCTGTGGATAAAGTAGGATGATGAAGTTTTGAAGCAAAGAAAATAGTTAGCGTTATATGCCATCAAAAATGACTCGGAACAACATTTGTGGACGAAAAGATTGTGTGAAATTGGAGATGTAATTCTGATGGGAGCCTGTGTTTTAGGATTCAACAAATGCAAGAGTCATAAAAAAATTATCTCTTTTCTTTTTACAGAAAAAAAGGAGTGAGCTCACAAAAGCCAAATAATTCTACTCAAAATAAATCCCAATAAACATAAATTATTAACATAAGGCATCTTTGGAATGACATGACACATAAATTGCAAATATAGTTCTGAGAAGCTATACAACTCCTAATCCAATAAAACTGTGTCTCTTGTTATTCTAGAGCTGCATTAAGAATAGCCTGAGACTGTACTTAAAAAATAAAGTAAAAAACAAAAAAACTGAAGAGGGCTTGAAATTAACCCAAGATCTACTTGACCTTCACAACAATTTTAGTTACAAATTGCATTAATTGTCACCTGAAGTGGAAGGAAGTAATTTCGTACAGAAGTTAAACGTCAAGAACAATGCAAATGCAAATAAAGGTTAACATTTTATTAAGGGAATAACTAAGTCATACCTTTTCATTCTTCTACTTCAAATTCAATAAATGCTTCGTTAATTTTTCTAATGGCAGAAAGAAGGGGAAAAAGAGATTAGCTACCTTTGTTGTTTAGCAAATAGGTTAGCAGCTTGTGTGATGCTGTTAAAGAGATGATGATGATTTTCTACTGATGCTCAATGCATGTTCTCCCCTATGCTAAGTCAGCTTTTCCTACTGCCCCATTCCAGGAGAGTAACATAATCATGCATGACACATGTAAAAAAGGGACAGTTGTCATGTTGTTATAGCTTCCATCTTGACTTTGTTTTAACCTCTCTTGCGATCCATTATTCTAACAAAAATACACCTGAAATGGAGAAAGACTGAAAAAACCAATCTGTTTATAGTACAGATAGAAACATACATAAATACATCCATGCTAGATTCAGTTCTATGGTCAACAGGCAGTTAAGGTCCACAAATTACTTATCCCCAAGCCATCAAAGTTGTACAGAGCAACGGAATGAACAGTTGGCTATTCAGTCTAAGACACATGAAACACTCAGAAGACAAAATCATACTTTTCCTAGCTCTCCCACTCAACCCCAATCTACAGTTGCAGGCAAAAGTTACCTTTCCTTGGTCAAATCGTATCTGAGTGAATCTCTGAGTAAACAGACATTGGCGGAATATTGTTATGATATTGTAATGGTATGTGGGAATAGGAGACAAGGAAGATCTGCAGCCTAGACAGTTGGATAAACCGTTGAGTCTGAAGGAGGAATGGTAGAGCAAGAATTTAAGAAAAGACACTTCCTAGTTTTTGCGAGGCAGGAGTACATTCAGATTTGCAAACATTTGTTAACGTAAGGTAGAGTTATTATTTAAGGTTGTGCTTCTTGGCTAGACTTCTTCAAGGGGCTAATAGGCACTAATTTAAATATGCATTTTTTTTCCTACGTATATGAATGTATCATTTCTACCTATGAGCAGCTGTTTACAAATTGAAAATAATAAAAATAGTGGCTAGTACTAAAGCTAGGATACAGTCTCAGTCAGTACTTTACAATGCCTCCTTCAACAGAAACGATAGTTTTCAAGTCTCTTTATAGTCAGCTAAATGTTCTCCTTGTCTGAGGATTCCTCTCACTTTTTCTTTGCAAAACTCCTCTGGATTTGAAACGCAGGCTTATTTCTCCTTACAGTAATAATCAGTAACATTCAATATTCCATCCCAAATCTTTGTGTACTTAAATACTTCAGAGTTGAATTTGGAGGCAAGCTTCCAAAGAGACCCTCTCATTCTTAAAACAAAACCAACATGGGTTTTCTCCTCCATGTGACAAGAAGTTGAAGGAACTCAGCACCGAGGAATTATTGTCTTGTATTTGGAGACTTTTTTAAGGCAGGCAACTTAAGAAACCCCCTGGAAAGTATTCTGGTTCCTAAATTAAGTACATGAAAGAAAGAGCCCAATTTCTATCAATGCACCGACGCTCAAGAGAAGAATGGAAAAATGTGAGAAGAAATATGTTACATCCTTCATAATAGCAGCCCTCTCTTGCCGGTGTGGGATACAAAGGAAAGCCGACCAACCTGATGGAATAAATTGACACACAGATGAAGAAGAGAAACTGAAGAGCTTCCAGAGCATGGCCAACACAACTGATTTACAAAGGATGTGTAAAAGAAATTTGAAGTTTTATTCTGTTTCCGAAGAATCCTCCCTCTTCCATTTCTCCCCTTAATGAACATGGATATGAATATGAATTAGACACACATTGTGAGAAATGGAAAATAACGTGACAGCAGCAGTGTTAAAAAGAAGGCAATGTCACTTCACAATACCGCTGGCTTCCTTCGTCACAGAAGCCTTCCACCATTCTAACCTTCGGCTTTTCTAAGCTGGGAAAAAAACAAGAGGGAAAGAACAGAAGTGGGTGGAGAAAAAAAAGAGATGCTGGGTATAATTGTTTCCTCTCTTTAGAGAGAGTGCAAGGACAAATACCGAACCATCTGACAGAGTAGTAATTCCCAAAGCTTCGTTTTTTATAATCATCGAGCACAGAGGCCTTATTGATCACATGTCCACTTGATAGTAAACATAGTCTACATACCAAGCACTAGTAACAACATGGAGGTGCTTTGGATGAAAAGGGGTGATAGAAAGTGACTAAGAAATGTTGTATAGTTCTGCTGTTTTTCCCAATTAAAAATAGTTAATACAGAATGGAATTCAGCAATCTTTTATTTATTTATTTATTTAAGAGAAGAGACACTCTGGTAAGTAAGATGTTTGTCTTCTTTTTTTAAAAAAAAAAGTGGAGGGGGGGAATGTGATTACGTAACAACTATGAAATGAAACACATACATGAAATGTCCTTGGCTACCTTTCTCTTTCATTGACATCAGCTAAGTACAAATGCACCCTAAATAAAGAAAGAATTCAAAAATTTTAATACCGTTCATACTCATGCATATTATTGCTTTGAAGGAACCATTCTCAGTATATATATATATATATATGTATGTAGGTCTTTGGTTATTCGGTTTTTTTCCCGTGTCAAATTGGAAGTGTCTTGGCGACGTTTCGACAAAGTCTCATTCGTCATCTTCAGGCTGGTGTTTTCGGCTTCGTGCTTCTAGGAACACAAAGCCAAAAACACCAGCCTGAAGATGACGAATGAGACTTCGTCGAAACGTCGCCAAGACACTTCCAATTTGATGCGGGAGAAAACCTGAATAACCAAAGATATATGTATGTATGTATGTATGTATGTATGTATGTATGTGTATGTGTATATGTATAGATCAGAATAACAATTCACACTAAGCAACTGATGTGCTTGCTTAATTTCAGCTACATATCCGGGCACCAATTAATTGATTTTCATTCTACGTTTTTCTGGAACACCTCAATGTGGTCTATACATTATTCTCCAGCCTCCTATTTTCTTCACAAGATTGTGAGCGAAGCTGGGGAGAGGGAGAGAGAGAGACTGCCCCAAAGTCACCCATCCAAGTTTTGTCTGCAAAAGAGAACTCGGAGTTTCCTAAGTTCTAGTTCAGCATATTAATGATAATGTGGTGATTATGCGTCTATTATGTTAATCTACTTTGACCCCAAGGAAGAAGACTTGTTGAGTATACGGTCTTAAGGCTGATGGTGAGATGAAGCTAATAAAGGAGAATATGCGTAGGTCAGATTTGAAATGAAGACTCCGTGGTGCTCTCTGAGCTAGTTGTTTTCTTGCAGACGATTTATTACCCAACTAGGTAACATCATCAGTGTTGATGAAGTTACCAAGATTGGGTAATGAAATGTCTTCAAGAAAACAACCAAGCTCAGAGAGCACCAAGCGCCCCCGAGATGAAGCTGTTGAGCTGATGTTTGAGTACCACGGACAAAAATGACTGTTCTCACATAATACACACAAGCGCGTTATCCACAATATATCTCCCTGATTCTCCATCGTATGTACCACATAAAGCTGCCCATCCCTTGTATTTTGACTTCCACATGTTTTTGCCGGATTTCCCAAATCTCCAACTGGTGGTCCTGGATTTCTTCACAACCAAAAGGTTTACAGAGATGACAAAAAGAGCCTCTCAGTGGTGATACCAAAGAAGAATCAATACTCCCAGACAGGTAAAATAAGCTTTCGAAACCTTTACGAAAACTAAAGAAAAGATTCCTTTGAACTGAGTTCATAGTGACTTCATAAACACGTCCAGGAACTTTTCAACTGGAAAACAGTTTGGCAATGGAACTGAGGTTTCTAGACAAAGGCTGAGATCTGATTCTATTAAACAATTTTGCAGGGAAGTTTTTATTCTGCAAAAAAACCCACCCACCCCCAAAAAAAAACACCTGGTGGCAATTGAAATACAAAGGGTCTCCAAGATGCTCCGCATTGATCTAGCTACATCCCCATGACGCTCCTGTTCAGTGTGACAAATTGCTTATTGTTGCCACTGTTTGTTTCCTTATTGACTCTTCTGCAAAGGCAGACATAAAACTCCCAGTGACAAAGGACAGAGAGAGCTTTCTCAAAAGCAAAAAAAAAAAAAAAAAAGGATAAGAAAGCAGAAGTGGTGATTGCTCAACCGCTTGGGCCCAAATTTAGGCCAATTTCTTGTAAAAAAAAAAAGGGAATTCCAATGGTTTAGAGACATAGAGATACAAAGGGGGGGGGAAAGGGGGTTTATCTGCTCTGTCAAAGCATTTCCTATCTC